TACGGCACTGCTGTCTGCGGCAGCTCCCTCTGACTCGGCAAGAGGGGGAAGAGCAGGAGGACCTGTCCTGCTGCTCCCCCCCAGTGCCTCCACAGGGCACTGAGCCTTGGGGTGTTGTCCCACACGGCTGGAGTCAGCAGCACCAACAGCCACACAGTTTTATCAGCTTAGCACTTGGAGACTTCACACAACAAAACCTTCCTAATTGTAAGAGTTACGATCCTGGAAATACAGAGTTTATGAAATCAACTTCTTCATTCTTCTATCAAAGTTAAAAACTACTATTATTATTATTAAAGTTAAATTTTAATCTTTGACAAGTCTGACTAAATGTTGGGCAAAGTCCCAAATTCAGTTCAGCAACAGAGAGAAAAGAGTCTAAGATGTTGAACCCAGCAACCAGTGTTTAATCCTTGAACACCACAGAGTTTAATTTAGAGCTTCAGCAGTCTCACTGCCTGGGAGTACAACTCTGTGAAGAGGAGGATCATCACGAGACGGTCACCTTTAGATCAGGGAGATGAGGACTACATGCTCTCCCAGCTGGACATAAAACTTTAATGACAGCACTAAGGTGGCTGTGAAGGTGGAGGCGCAGGAGGAAAACAATTACAATGAGTTCTGTTTTCACTAGTAAGTATCAAAAATTAGGGGCTTTTTTAAAAAGAAAACACTGGCTTTTTAAAACTGTAGTTTCCTTTAAAATTGAAGCAAAAGGAAAACTGTTCAGACAGAACCTCATCCGTTACATGCAATGGCTTTAATGAGGTCAGTTAAACTGAAAAATTCATCTAAAAATACAAGGCATAGGGAATTCATGTTACAGTGCACATAGTCATATACCAACTTAGGAGTCATTTTGCCTTGACCATGACATTGTCCAACCCACACTGTTATGCATGAGTCAAATTTAATGAACCTGAAACTTTCCAAGAATACCAACTGACTCCAGGAAGGCAGCTTTTCCCAGCTTTGCCAACACTGCAGTCTGCTGTTACTGCCTTCTTACTTAGCAAGCTTTGATAAAATTTCTAAAATGAAGCACTGTAGCCAGTGCAGAGCTACACACTTGGAACCAATTTACATTAAAAAATAAATCCAGAAAAATTCTAATAGGCCTTTGGCATATGTAATAATCAACAACACTCGGACATCATTTGGCCTGCAGGACACGCACAGCTCCAAGAACTAACAGTCAAAAAGATCACATAAATATAATGGCAAGCATCTCCTCCTGACCACAAGCATGTTCAATCCACAAAACACTCTTACAAATAAAGAATCAGATTTCCTTATTATGCAGGCTCCTTTGTTTCGCTCTGTCTGCAACGAACAGCTGTCCTACCAAACCAAGCACTGCAAGAGCAGACTCTTACCATTTTGACTGGGTTCTCCTGGCTCTGATCCTTTTCTCAGCGGCAGAGCTGCCTCACCTGGCACTCGAGGGCTTTCCACATACTTGGGCTTCCTGGTCGGACCTGCAATGGGAATGAGCTGAGTGTACCTAATTTTTTCCAGATGGACCACAAGTATCATACGTACAGTGTCTGTCCTCTGCGATGCACAAAAAGTGGAGGAATTACTCTTACATACACAGCTGCTACTGTAACGACTGGTGAGCTGCTGCACTTCCCCTCCCGTGAGAAAGAAACACTCTCCCTGAGCTTTTTGGAATGCAAAGCCTGCAGGAAAACAAAACCAGTCTGCTTGCTGCGACAAACCTGAAAAAGTTTCCTGTAAGTGTAAAGCAAGTGACTTTTTCCATGTTCAAACTCAGACAATTTTCAATGGCCCTCCTTGGTTCAGAGCTCTTATTTTGCATTGTAACAGGAAGATCATTTTGTTATCAGCATCTTTGAAGGTTGGAGAAAAAGACTACAGGCAGACATGCAACATGAACACTCTAAATAATTCAAACCCAAGAAGCAGCTTGATATTACAGCATCCTTTCTCCAAATACTGAGACACACCCTGATCACAAGGAATGGTGAAGATGAGTTCAAAAAACAAAAGAAAACACGAGTGGTTACTAATGATTTCTGGTTTTATTGAACCGTAGCATCCCAGTTCATGTACATAATAAGTTCAAACATAAGTCCAAACACCTTCAGGATTAAGAAGAATTATGTATTCACACAGACACACATACATTTAAAAAATTAAACTGATTCACCCTTTACTCTCACTTTTAGCTTCGTGCTTTGGTTCCAGGCTGTTTATGATCCCATTCTTTGCTAGCTATGCTTTAGCAGCAACCAGAGGAAACGTTAACTACACAACTCCTCTGACAGAAGGGGAAGGCTGCTGCCCTCTAAAGGTTTAGCAGCAAAAGCATACTGGCACTGTGGAACCAACATCTGCTTGCACTACACACACGGGGAAATTCCGATCTTATTCAGCAGCTGCTAGCACTGGCAGGTAGGCTGCTATGCTGAAGCACACTATGCTGTGGAACTGAAACTCCACCATACATTTATCCGCATCCTGAAACATATGAATTTCGCATCCATAAAGGCAATTGCAACACCAAGAGTTTTGGAAAAGCATGAACAGGGAGACTTGCAAAGTTACACACTGGAAAGCTGAGATATTTAAATGGAAGGGGGAATGAAAACAACATCATCAGCAGTGGTGCTGAAAACTCAAACCCAAATTTTTGTCCCAAACTTTAATTAAGACAACCTGAATTTCTTGTAATGTGTGTAACAAAGCCACTTGAAACTTTCAGAGCTTTAGTGAGCTTAAGGTATGGCAGGCAATTCGAACGTTTCATCCAGAAGAACCTAAATACTAGCTGGAAGTCCCCAGAAACACAGCCAGTTGCTGGGCTTAACAAAAGACTAAACCAAAGGTATTCCTGTGGATTTCCAAAGCTGTGCGAGAGACAGTGATTTTCCCTTCTTATTTAAATACAACTTCTTGTTATATTGCAGAGCTACGAACACAGGTTGTCTCTATCATGTAACATCATCGTTAGAGTCAAACTGATATTAAAGGGGTTGTAGTCTTTCAATTCCTTAAGCTTACAGAATAACACATTAGACACTGACTGAGAAATCATGCATTTCTAAAAAGAAAGGAGTGAAATAATATTTCAGTAAGTAACGTAGGAACTGTAACATCATGAATGAAGTGCCAGATTGAAAAGCTGATTTTACAAACACAACCTCATCAGTTACAAGTTTTAGATAACAAGCTCAGTTCTCGCACTTCCTAAGAAAACCACACCAAAAAAACAGAGGGAAGGGCTTAGTTATCAAGCTATTAGGCAAGATCTTTCCTTCCCACAGAAGTTCACAAACTTACCAAGTAGAAGCATTAAGTCTCACAGCACAATAGAGTTCCAGTACATGAAAACATACTGGTAAATTCCAAAATACCTGTAAAAGTAATTTTTCACCATTTCTGAGGCCAACGTTTGTCACTCACGACCATGCCACAGGATCTACATCTCCTTAACTCCTTCAGCATGCATGGACAGCTATGACTGCATTCACAGACGCTGCTACGTCTGACAAGTAGTGACCTCAGTGAGTTTTACAAGGAGATTTGAAGAAAGCACTGAAGAATACAGCTAACACCTACACAAAATATAGCCAAAGGCAAAGCTTTCAAAACAAAGGAGGTGAATGTCCCATTAAAAAACAACAACAAAAATACATCCTCAATAAAAACAACAAAAAACCCCAGTTTTAAAATAAAATAGCTTATAATGTACTGGAATCAGAGAAAAAAAAATGACCAAAAAACCCCAAAGAATAAACAACAGAAGAGGCAGAAACTGAGTTTTGGTCCTAGCGGGAGACACCGCGCTGTGCCACTGCCGTGCTGAGTGCTGTGTGTCCCTGCAGCCCTTCAGCTCTCACATTCCCTCCTCTTACACCAGGACAACCGGGTAAGTACTCGCCCACCTACCCACCTCCCCGGGAAGTGCTGGCAGGATTTGGATAAAACAGAACTGGCCAGTTATTCTTAGTGTGTGGTGTGCAAGCTGCAGAGTGCAAACAACTGCAGCAGGCTGGCCTCCCTCCTCCTCCTCACGTCTATACACAGCTTAGGACTGCACCGCAGGCGTCCAGCTGCTGCTCCTGCCCGGGTCTGCAACCTCCCTCCCTGACACAGGAAACCCCACTCAGAGAGCACAGGAGAGAGCCTGCACCACTGATGCGAACTGTCCCCCATCGCCCTTCACAGGGCAGTTTTCTTGTCTTCAGTTTCACTCTTCAAACACCACCCTTCTATTTGTCTCCAAATCCCAGGGCACACAGCAGCTCTCCGAGACCCCCTACTCTTTATTAAAAACCACAGGACGTTCTGGCTATGACATCTGCAGCCACGTCAAGTGTCCCGTCCTTCCTCCTGGCAGCAGCCTCAGATGCCACGCTAAGTCTCTGAAAACTACACTGATTTCTTGGTCATTTTCACAAGTACCTCCAGGTTGACGACTGCTTTTAAAGAAAAGTTGCAACTCTCTCCACTTTGGCCTGAGGCTCCGCAGGGCACCCCGTGACCGACCTGAGGACGTACGCGGTGCCCCAGCACAGGCTGCCGCCATGCCCCAGGTACGAGCCGGTTCTACACCAGCGCCAAGGCACTCCACCATCAGACCCACCTGCTCTCTCCCATTTCCACCTAGAAGTGGAACATGGGGATACGGCAATAGCCTCATTTCTCAGCTAAGAAATACTAGGCAGGGAATGTAAGTCATATACGAACGTATGTTTGTATCTTTGCATTTCTTTAACTCAAAGACAGCTCCGCTACCACCCAGCACCAGAGGGTGCTCGTTCAACACTACTGCATGACACAAATAAGGGGCATTGGCCCCGCTGAAAGCAGCTAAAAATACATTCCTCTGAAACAAAATCACATTCTTTAAGGAGACAATAGCCCAAATCTGTCATTTGTAAGCAGAAGTATATTTAGATGTATCGAAGTTAAACAACAAAGAGCAACCATTCTAAAAGAGCAATGTGCAGCAGTCGTTTAAAACAGAGCAGAATGTAAGCATCCGCAGGGTGTATTTTAACACTCACACTTGAAGCAGTGGAGGAGACCCTTTATTGAATTTTCTTCCTCACAAACTAATGTGGAAGTGGTTTACAGTACTTGCAAACCTGATACACAACATCGCAGTAACTGGGAAAATTCATGGTAGGTTTATTTTCATGCACTAATCTAGAATAGGACACATGAATTAATCCCCAGATTAAAAAAAGGACCTACGTAAACATGAGCTGCCTCTGCACAAGGGAAGCTCTTTTCCAGAAGTGTAAGATGGCTGAATGAAAGCCTGATAAAAGGTTCATCTGGGACAGTACTGTATCTGTAGCAACCAGGAGAGAAGAATCCCAGACAGGGAAAACATACTGTCCTGGTACACTTTTCCTAACTCAAGTGGTATATAATTTCCTGAGTCAGAAGTGGTCACTTGCTATTTAAGAGCTCTAGATGGATTTTCCTTCCAAGAATTTATCTCAGCCTTTAACAATTTGCACCATCCACAAGTTAACCCGACGCTGCATGAAACAGTGATCATACTGTCTCCTTTTCTCACCAATTGTCTTTCTTCCAGGCAGAAAAATACCAGCCAAATCTATTCAAATAATTTCTCCTTCAGAGCCATTCCACACCTTCAGTCATTCCTGCAGCCCTTCTCTAGCTCTTCCCTAGCTCTGTTGTAGATTTTTAAAGTTCGTAGCACCAGAGCTACACCAGTATCTTCCCAAGGCAGACGAACTACAGATTTATACAATTCCGTAATTATACATTTTGGTTATGATCTATTGCTTTCCTAGTAATTTTTAATGCTTGCTTTTTCTGACTGCAGAAGAGCTGCTGTTTCCAATGGATTATTTTAACTTGTGCATCTCCCTGCCTAATCCTCCGAACTGGCTTTTCCTCCCATCAGCGTTAAATGAATCTGTACCCATACTGATACTGGTGAGTGCCCTGTCCCGGGTGCAGGACCTCGCATTTGTTAGCTTACTGCATGCAAGAGGAACGGCTTCCCAGTGCTCTCAAGATCAGTACAGAAAACTGAAGCCTTGGGTGAAACCAGTTCTCTTACCCAGTCTAGTCTCAAGTATCAGGTATGCCATTAATTTGGTTAGTAATTAAAAGTTTAATTAAAGTTTAATTTAAAAACTCCCTGGAAGTTCTATTGCACATTTAAGGAAGACTCTTTCAGCAGTCATCTTCGGCATTCACTGATGTCTTTAAAAGGAAAGCTGCTTCCTTCCTCAGTTCAAGCATACTGCTATGAAGAAGTGAAGCCAGTAAACGTTTACTTCAAGGGCAGCAGCAGTATCTCCCATTCACACTTTAAATTCCAACAACCCATTTTCTGGCACCTCCTTTATAAACCAGAGTACAACCCACCATTACCCCTTTCCGAACACGAGTACTGGTTCAGTTGCACACCTGTAAGACTACAATCCAAGCAATGTTCTTTCTAGCTTTATAGGAGCAGAAACACAACTTACTGGGACAGTTTTCAATTTACTGCTCTCCTTCCCAGAGCCCCCGTGCTGACAACTTTTTCCTTGTCCTGCTTGTTTCTGCCCTTTTATCCACCTCCTCCTCAATGAACTATTTCATTAAGGAAGCTTTTGACTCCAAATGAACTGGTCGCTTTAGTCTGCCAATATTTTAGGCTCCTTAGTAACTTAAGATATAGTTTCTCTCTTCCCTCCTTTTCTAGTTAGAGCTGAGGACTGAACTGGGGCCAGAAACACTGGTACTCTTCCAAGCTCTTCCCCCACCTCCTACGCAGGTGATGAAAACACAGTGTCACTCACAGTGATGGTGCAAACGGGACGGTGCAGCTTTCCGTGCTCCAATGAAGAGGTTCAGCCCGCTCTCCCGTGGTTGTGCCTGCCCGTGCGTTACCAGGTTCTAGCAGCTGAGCTACTTGCAAATGGAAGGGAAAAAAAAAGCAGCTATGACCATGCACACGCTGCAGGAAAGATGCCTCTCTCGGTGGTGGAGAGTTGTCACTGTGCCTGTGCACTGTGCCAGGGACAATCAGACAGCTAACGGTGCTAACACACCGGTCCCTGGGCACGCGAGGACTGATCAGCCCCGTCTCCAGGCTGAGCCCCCACCTAGAGCGGCAGCGGATGAGAGACAGGAGAGGAGAAGTGGGGTGCCAGAGATGAGGACAGCCGTTCCAAAGAGACACCAAACCAACAAGTCCTGTGCCAGTCCAGGAGGTCCCTGCACCAGCGGTTTCCAAATCTGTTCTGAACAGACACCTCTAACTTGCTAAACACCACGTGCTTCTCTCAGTCAGATGAGTCTGAACCTGAGAACTGATAATTGTGTTATTCACGGAACAAATATGGCTTCAGTGGAACAAAACCCTCTGAGTCTAAAGGGACAGAACGAAACCACCACGCTCCTCACAGTACAGCTAGGGCGAATCCATACCAGCAAAAACATTCTCTTCTCTGAGTCATCTGGAGTAGAAAACTACAGAGAGGTATACAACATTCACAGGGAAAATAATTTCAAGTATAACATTCTTTATCTACTTTTATTTAATTAAAAATGTAACTGTAGGAACACTTAAAAACCCTGCAGCCATCTAGAAGGCAAAATAACCTGCAAAATTAGCAAATGCTCACATGAGTGAGGAGAATATGCCTGGCAGGATGGGGGGAAAGTACTTTTCCACTATTTTAAACAATAAATGAACAGTTTCTGTTTCGATTTATACATTACTTGAATGTGAATTCACAAACTGGCCTTCTATTTTGCTTGCTGTCATTGTTGCAGGTTTTCATATGGCACTACTGCTAAATGACATAGTAAATTACCAGAATTTACCAAGATGTTCAGAATGTTTTCAGCACCTTTTGTTTAACAGAACACAGTCAGAGATTTTCCTTCCTTTCAAGCACCATGTATCTACAAGCGTGCAACTTTCTGAAAAGACGGGAAATTAAAACATACTTCTGCCATTAACTAAGTCACCTTTGGTGGAGCCGAAGTGCTGGCTTTTCAGCAGTTTTATGTGATGGATAAAGAGACTGCAATTATAGAAGGAAAAAATTTGCTCAAGTCCTACTCGAAATGCTGACACATTTTACAGAAATGACAGCGGACAGTAGTTGCTGCTCAGACAGCAGTGAAGACAAGCAAAGAGGTGAAATTAGAAGAAAAACCAAAACCACTCCTCTGAAGCCACAGATATGCAGAAAGGGCAACGAAAGGAGAAGCAGTAAGAGCAACTTGTCAGTTAATGAATTTACACCCAAGATTTTTCTGTTCTAGACATCACCAACTGGTCTAATTCTGTGAAAGAGTTCGAATGTCTATGCCAGTTACACAAAACCATAGAACATTTCACAGTGCATTTCCCACTGCAGAACGTTCTGCCATGCGTTATTTTTAAATTATTTCACCAGGAAAAACTTTTTATTCACTGATCATAAGTATCATTAAATTGGTATTTTTAAATCAGCAAATATAGACGCAGCACTGGATAAACATTAACTATAGACAAATCTGCTAGAAAAACGGGAGTGTACTGCGTATAGAGCCCTCAAATACAGATGTTTTAGTGAACATTAGTGCAAATAACTATCGGCTATCTACAACTATCACTTTCGAATTTATAACTCTGAAGCACACAGCCAGAAAAATCTGTTTTTAATTTACTAACCAATGTTTTTAAGTAAATCTACTCAGATTAAATAAAAAGTTATGAAAAAGTTTTCATTAAAACCTGAGCAGCATTCAGCAAATATACTCTTTAATTGTCACCATTGAGTATACATACAGTGTACTGCTTCAGTCTAGTAGTTCTAGTAGTCTAGTAGCTTCAGTCTAGTCTAAATAGAATTTTATTTCAAGGAAATAAGTTATGCAAGGGTATCACCTTATATTTATGACCATCAACATGCCTGGGTTGTAAGAACAGAACTACAGATCAGGAACAAATGGCCACACGTCAAAGGACGATCTTCTGCTCTGCTGTACTGCAGGGTTTCAAAGACTTTAAAAATATTAATGATATGATTCACATTGACGAATACATCTCTAAGTCAGTGCTTTGTCTTCACCCATGAACTGAGAGGACTGAAACGAGAATTTTGTTCTACCACTGGTTAGATAACTTCATCACTCCATCTGACCCTCCGAATACTACTTTAACTCCCCATGCAACACTTTCTTCTTTCCTCCACCAGAGCCCGAAACAGCTTTCTTTGTCTTGCTGTTTGTAAGCCACTGAAAGAGAGTGCTTTGAAATCAGTACATTGGCATACTCTCTATTTTATTACTCCTGCCCCAGATGCTAGACAGATATTTTATATTAAATCATCTCTGATCAGCTATGATTTGTTGAAAGTCAATGGAATGGCACAGAATGTTTCCATCAGCATCCCCTCTCCTGGTTAGGTATTTGTACAAAGTAATGATACGTAAATGCCGATGCATTCACAGCACTTCATAATCTTCAGAAATCTTTTTCTCTGGCTATATATCACAGTGGAATGGCTTTGAGGTCATTGTGAGTACAGCTTTTCATTCAAAATTTATCAAGTGTTACACATTTTCTGCAATAAAAACAAATAGCAGCCCATACTCTGCTTATGAAAGTGCGTGTCACCAAATTAAATCCTGGAGTTGGGAGGTTGGCAAGATATCAGTCTCCAACACACCTAGAAAGCAGTTAAGTTTTCCCAACACTAAGAAAACTAAGAGTTAGATCCTCACTTTCACTGAAGTCTTTGGCTAAAATCCCATTTCCTTCTACATTACGAGGACTTCACCCCATCTTTTACTGTTGTTTAGCACGCAAATCACTTTTACATTTTAATGCGAACTGTCAAAACCAACCCCACAATTATTTAAACATGCAGTGAGAGTATTATTTTTGAATTTTGAAAGGAAATAATAAATACTGATAAGCAACTTAAACTAATAACAACTTCTTACAAATTGTATTTGCTATCCTGTGGCAATTCCTTGAGCAACTTTTTTTTTTTTAACATAAAATGGGTCATTAACCAAGACATTTCTCAGAAATGATGAAATGACAGAAACCAGCTTCCACCATTCTTTGCTCCTAGACCTTATAAGCTCTCTAACAAAGAACCTCGAAACTGCTGAGTATCTCCACAAGTAGCAGGAATATGGACAGTTTCACTTGGCGCTCAGGCTTTGACCTGAATGAACCCAAGTGATGCTAGTGTGTTGGAATGATCTATATGCACAGAATGCTGATAAAAATGGAACCAGATGAAGCACCGTATTTAGCAAGGCTCACACACAAGTATGCGGTCATTGCTAAGGGCACAGCCTCTGAAAATTAACAGCAGCAATTTATCTAGCAATACATTTATGAATGTCGATAGGAGTAGAACGAATGAGCTGTAAAAGCCACAGACAACATTCACTCTCACAGACACTAACATGCACTAACGCCAGTTTCTGCAGCTGTCTCCTACCTGACATACTAACCATACATAACCAGATTTAAACATACTCGGACATTTCCATCTAGGTATTTGCAATACCAATCAGAATAATTCTTTGCCATACGAACTAATATATTCCATTTAATCACCAGTTACCATTTTTCTCTGGTAACATGAAAAAACCATCCACTGCTCTTGTTCTTATTGCAGAAGATTAACATGATTTTACTGGGTTACTTCTACAGAAAGTGCATCACAAACTGAGATAAAGTGCTACAAAGGTTTTAGTTGCTGATGAGTTTCATTTTACCTGGAGACTTTTTGTTTGATCTTGACTGCATCAAATAGGACTGGCGTGGCAGCAGAGGTGAGGATGGCAGTGACATTGAGACTCCTTTGGCCAAGTTCATTCTATAAGTGTCCTCAGAGACAGGCTGGCTGCCAATGGGGAAATCTGCATTGTGGCCAGATGTTGGTACAACCTGCGAGGTGTTCTCTGGGCAGCAGTCACCTGCTAAAAAGAAAATTCTGTCATCCACTATGTGATATACCAAAATAAAAAGCATAGAATTGCATTGAAATACAAGTATTTAACTTCAGAAAACATATTTGCCAGCAACCATTCAGCACGACTCATCTTACTGTGCACCCTCCACTGCAGGATCCAGCTAACAACTACAAAAATGTAAACCTACAGGCAAGCGAGGTTTTATTTTAATGTAACAGAGACAGCAAGGGGGAAGAAAAACCTCACTTTCAACAAAGTACTTTTCAGATTTCATCCTTAAGAGGCAAAACCACATTTCCTATGAAGATAAAAGTATTTTGCAACTGAAAGGGTATTTTAGGATCGCTGTGATATCCTGAAAGTCAAGACCATCTGAAAATACTGTTTACTGAACTAGTTAAAGGAGGAATTCAGCTGGGTTACCCCCTACACTCAATTAAAAGGTGGATCACAAAAATGAACACTCATAAATGGCCAATCTAAGCTTTATTTTTTCTGTTTTAAGTCTGGGAAGTCCAGCTACATGCAATTTGACAGCAACGTGTTTTTTTTTTTTTGTTTGTTTTTGTTTTGTTTTTGTTTTTTTTGGTTTTTTTTTTAATCTAAGGAAAAAAGAAGCTCTTGGTTCACAACATACTAAGTGGCACATTCCAACAGGGAAATACACTCAAAACAGAGAAATTTCTTGCTGGTGCAGGAAATGCAGTTTCAGCTAAATGAAGAATATATTTTCAAAGCAACAGAAAAGCATATTGCTCACAGTAATGATTCAAAGACAGCAAAAGCACAGCTTGAGAGTGCTAGGTTTTTCCTAGTCAGACGACAGAAGGAAAGCTGAAAAACAAAGGTTAACAACTAACTACAGCTTTCTAAATATCCAAACCAGAGTATTCCTTGGTAAGTTACATGAACTGCTGTTGAAATTGAATTGGTATGACCAGAGATCAAAAAGTAGCAAAATAAAACCGATGCAAAGAGACAATAGAGTGCCAGAATATTTTTTTCAGAGAAGTCCACATGCAACAAGCAGCATGGCTGAAGTATGGGAACCCAAAGTACTACCCAAAGACAAACAAAGGAGAAGTAATATAGTGTGAAATGTGAATCCCTCGCGCCAGTTTGTTGGGTTTTTTCTTACAGTAAGGAAACACTTCAGATAAATTTGGCTCTTCAACAGCCTCGTTTCTTGTCCGTTCTGTTGCCATTCAACTGTTGCTTTCAGTTTTTAGCAGCTGTTTCCCTACCACATTCCACTCCAGGCAGCATCAACTGCACACAGCGGACTTACTGCCACAGCAAACCCAACCCAGCGAACTTCCCTGCTGTGTCGGAAGGAAAAAAGCAAACCTAACCCTTTGAGAAAGTAAAAATATTTTTGCCAATGTAACTACTGCTCTCCTTTTTTAGAAGAACGCATGGAAGATAAGAAAACCAAACGTGTCTGAATGTTAAAGTGTAATTCCCTATTTCCAAAGGTGCACGTATTTAAGATTATTTGGAGTTTTTTCTAGCCATACGTGTTTCCTCACGAGAAGCACACATGTGGGCTACGTGTATCTACTTGTAAAACAAATGACCTTGAGAATGCTACGCTAGATTCAAACTCTTCTTAACATTTCGTAACTGTAAAACTTACTCTCTTATTCCCCTAAATCCAACTAAACTACCACCTTCCAAAGGTTCTCTCTGTTCAAACAAAATTCACAGTAACAGGTAAGGATTTTAAGGAAACAACTCTAGTTTCATCAAGTCAAGATGGAAACTAAAACCTGTAACTTTATACTCTTTTCTAAGTCCACTGCAACTATTATAGGAGTATAACTATTGGTTTACAATCCTGGGAACTAGAAACGCAGCTTCAATGTTTTACCGAGCTAGCTGTAAGACACTGTTCCTAAAAAAAACAAAAAAAAAAAAAAAGTAAAGCCTAAATATATATTTAAAATAAAAAGACTAAATATTTTAGACACTCTAATCACATATGTGAGATTTTTTTGAAACACCAAGATATCTAAACTACTGAGTTCCCATTCATTTCTGTGGAAATCAAGAGGCTAAGGATTTTCTTTCTCTGTTCTTTTAGAAACTGAACTTTTGCAATAGCTGTTTTTAAACACAGATTTAGCATTAGGTATACAATTATTTATTATTCAATACATTACAGGTAAGTTTGCTTTGTAAATTGTCGAAGAAGAACGCACAGAGAAACTGGTGGTATTCATTTTTTTCATTTGAACGTAAGCAAAAAGCAAGGAAACACCATGGCAATGCATCTAACTACAATTAGAAAATGCCGGCATTCTTGTTGGAGTTTTTTACTGGACATGTTGCCAAGGTTGTAATTTGGAATTTGTGCAAGTACTCCAGCTGCAACAGTAGTGAGAAGGTGCAAGAGACAACAGAACAACAAACAAAAACTGCCTCCTCCCTCTCCAGGGTTACTAAGTCCACCTACAATTTCCCAATTTCTATTTTCCCTTTTACTATGACACAAACAGTCAGTGGTTAGTTCATTGTCTTCTTAGTAGCCTTTTGAATTTTGAATTAATTTAAATTTATCCTTCTCTATTGTATATCAAATGGAAGAGAGCTAGATGGGGCTAAATATGCTGCTGGCATAACTCTAATCAATAAGTTTAGATTATTTCATCATGACAGTAACTTGAAAGACATTTTACAGTCTATATATGCACACCACTGCATGTCAGCAATTTGTGTTACAGGAGTACTCCGATTTTTCTTATTATTACATTTTCCTGACAGCAGCGCAGATGCTGCAGGGAAAGGTACAGGATCAGCTTGCGTGACTCGGATTCTTAAAAAACAACAATCTAAACCGCATAGCACAGAAATTCTTTTCAAACACTTCTTTCCTGATTTTACAATCAGGATACGATAGCTCTTTAGAGCCAAAACTCACACCTTGAGAAAACCCCAACACTGGCTCCAGCCTGCCAGGACACACACACCCAGCGATGCTGGCACACGTTGAATGGTAACGTGTTCCACCAGAGCAGGAGAAAGCACGTTACAAATGAAAAAGGGTTAGGATGCTACAGAGCAGCAGACAGCCGTGAGACACAGCCCATCCCACAGCTGCTCCTCCAGGGCCTTTCTAAAACCGTTACCTGAACATGACAGGAGCCAACAGACCAACCCCACGTTCGTGACCCCAAAGACACAAGCAGCGGGACAGAAGGGATACGGCAGAACTCACACAGCGCAGCCCTCCGGCACCGTCCCAGCCACAGCCACGCTGCAGATCCCCCCCGGGAGAAGGGCTCCCCGCAGGCCCCCATCCAGGACAACGTCTGACAGCAGCCAACCCTGAACAGAAACCCCCCGCACTCGGGGGCTAGAACCCACCCGGACTCGGGGGCTGCTCCCAGGAATGGAGTCTGTGGCGGTAACCAAAGCCAACGTGGGAACACACCCTGTCTCTGCCGACGCTGGGATGAAGCTCACCGTTCCTCACCGCGCGCAGCAGAGCCACAGGAGGAGGAAGAGCTGACCAGGGCAAGGCTCTGAGACACCGAGTGCCCCAGAGACACCCCACTTCACCTGAACAGCCTCAGACACCCACCACTGTATCACGGGTCACGGGCCCCAGCACAGCAGAGCTACCGGACAGGATCCACTGCACCCCCAGAGCTCACGGGTCACGGGCCCCAGCACAGCACAGCTACCGGACAGGATCCACCGCACC